CTTAAGTTATGTAATCAAAGGATTATGCTACAAAACGTACTAGCAAGTAGCAATATACAAATTCTCATTACTCATTCCCATCGCAGAAAAAGACAGACATGTTCCTATAGCTTATTTCAATAGTTCAGGTTGGAAACAAACATCATACTTAATATTAATATGCTGGTGAGAAAATTAAGCCAAGTACTGTATTTTGCCAATATATTCCAGGTGGGGCTAGTAGCATCACCCATTAAGCTTGTACGGCAGTTCCTCATTATAAGTCCCTATTTTCAGTTTGTGACAGGGTGTGTCAACCCCACACTGTAGCTGACAAGAGTGACCTTGGTCCAGCTGGCTGAGAAGGCTCCACCTCTACAGCCCTGCTGGGCATGTTCCCACTGGAAGCTGACTACAAAAGTTTCTGGGAGCAGCTCAGTCAGGGCTGACTGCTGAAGGGGAAGGAGGCGCTGAAGGAGCTCCTGGAGAGGAAGCGCAGCCAGACCAAACATAAACAGCCTGGCTGAGAGGTGCTACCTGAGGAGCTGCAGAACCAGAGTGAGACGACAAGGAAGACATCTACCAGGTACCGGCGGGAAGCAGCCCAGAGCAAGGAATTGGTCCCTGAGCTCTGTGTGTTGTGGCAGGATTCCCTGCTGAGTGAACAGTGGTCCTTGCCACTGCCAAAAACCTGGGTTGTCTTACCCCCTCCACAGATACCCCCTTGTGGGAGAGTTTTCCCTGCAAATGGACTTAGGCTGTTGGGCCGTATTATTCTGGATATAAGGAACTTGCACATGAACTTAGCCCATTGGGCTGTACTACCCTGAGTAACAGGAACGTGCATATGGATTTGGGCCACTGGGCTGTATTACCCTGAGTATAAGGGATGCGCATAGGGACTTAGACTGTTGGGCCGTATCACCCTGAGTGGCAGAGACCTGCATATGGACTGGGGTCATTGGGCCACAATACCCTGAGAAAAATGCCAAGGGTATAGATTGAGGCTGTCTAGCCACCCTGTGACTTGGTGACGATCAAGGCACTCCATCAAAGGAAATTAGGCTTGAGGGATCTCCAAGGGTTGGTCACCCCTCACCACAGTTGCTTAGAACTTTGCCAGAATAACCATTCTGGCTGATATTTCCATGCTCTGTCTGCCTCAGGTTGATGATAGAAAAGATAGACCAATTTTTTGAATCTATTGTTTCAGATAAAACCGATTCAGTTGTTTCCAAGGAAAGGCCTAGGGAAAATACGTTGTATTGTCCACGTTGAAAAATTCTAGCAACTTAATATTTGACCAGCTCTAGCACCGTATATTTTAGAGCAGGGGACTTGAAATCTGGCAGGAATTGGCAAGTATGTCAGGGATGTGGCTTTTGTCACCTCTGTTACAAAAATCCCACAGCTCCCAACACACGCTCAGTAGACTTTAGCAACTAAGACCTGCTCAAAGCTCTCAGCTCCTAGAGTTGACCAGACTACACATGCTACATTCCCTCAGAGCAACTAAGCATGCTCCAGCACAGGGATATGGGGTTAAGCTGGATTTTTTTTTTTAATAGCTGTTCTGGGCCAAGCAGTGGAACTGAGAGCATGGAGCCTGTCTCTCCTCTGTTCTAAGTGAACTCCCTGATGATACCCAAGCAGCAAGGAGATGGCACTAGTGAAATCTCATTTTGGAGGGGGCAAAAACCAGACCAAGAGAAGAAAAAGGCAAAGACTGGGACAAGGAGTCTGGTAAGATTGGGACAGGTGAGAGAAACTGAGGGCCAAGCAGAGTCTTGCACTGGGGGTTAGGGGCAAAGGAGGAAGAAGTTGGGAGCCAGTTGGCTTAGGAATAGGAGACAGATTGTACAAGTTACTGAAGTATGCCAGGGAGAAATAAGACAGGCTAGGCAAACAGCCTGAGACAAGAAGCCAGGAAGAGGAAGGGGCGGGGGAGACTTAGCTAAGGAGCTGGGGAGGAAGAAAGGGAGATTAGATGAGGACCCCAGGGAAGGAGACTAGAGGCATGTCTACAGTACTATATTAGATTAATTTACAGCCACTATAGTAATTACTGAGCTAGTACACTCCTCCTGTTGGTGGTGTGTGTCCTCACCAGGAGCTTTTCTACCAACTGAAGAAGGGCAGTGTGGAGGCTTGAGTCCGAAGGCTAGACTCTCTGAGCAAGGAGCCTACAGACAGCAGCCTAGTTGGGGTTAGGAAAGCCAACGGGAAGCTGTGCTCTCACTAAATAACTTTCATGTCAATTTCACAGCTCCAGCATGGAGGGCTGAGGCAAAGGCAGCAGCAGAGGTGGCAGCTGGCTCCCCAGGAGTGGGGTGGGAGCCTGGGAGTAACCATGAATATTAACCGATAAGTGCAGGGCATGCTTATCAGTTAACTGTTTACGCATTTATACTTCCACATCCCTAATAATAATAATAATAATAATGACATTCCAAATTTTTGGATATTAAAGTAACCTACTTTTTTTTAAAGTTTCATTTGCTTTTGCCCAAGGAGGGGTGTGACAGGGTGAGGGGTGTGACAGGGTGCTTTTGCCCCGCACTAAGGGTGCCCCCCCCCCAACGAGGCAGGGAGAAGCGGCGCAGATTTTCCTGCTGCTGCCGAGGATGTGGTCGGCGGGGCAGCTGGGACC